AATTTTGGTCAATGACATGAGACAAAGTATATGTGAACTGCTGTATGAAAAGTGAATTTGCTCTGTAAATCTTCACCCAAATCACAATAAATAAAATAAAATTTTAAAAAAATAAAAAATAAAATGCTGTGTGCTAATCTTTCACTTTACAAAATCTCTCACTGCAATAGTGTATCTATACAGGAAGTGTGAGTTTATAAGCGGTAAACTGGATGTCATCCTCTTAAGTCTCCCACTGCCCACAAGCTTCCACTTCAACTATGTGTGTCACCTGCAGAAAGGAGGCAGTTTGTCCTGGAGCTGCAAGTACAAACTGGGCTCAGGATTTCAATCAACGGGAAGAAGAGGTCTGGTGGGAGCTGGAGGGGCTGTGGGTCCGGCAGACCCATGATGACAGCATGGGCTGTCACAACACCTGACCCTACACCCAACTTTCAAGCCCGAGCCCACTGTTGCTTCATTTCTGCCTGCCCAAAACCACATGTATTTCTCTTGGGGCCAACCTTAAACCGGAACCATGCAGGGAGAGGAGTTCTGGGAAATGGAGTGTCAGCTCAGCTAAGTCGATACCAACCACCTGTTTGTCAGTGTGCCACACTCTGGTGGCTTACGTGTGGCCACAATGCTGGAAGTTATGCCACTGGCATTTCAAATACCAGCAGGGTCACCCATGATGGATAGGTTTTCAGTGACTTCCAGACTAAGACGAGGAAGAAAAAGCTTGGTGACTGTGGTGGTTATGTTTGTGTGTCAACTTGGCTGGGCCTGGTTGAGTGGCTGGGCAGCTGGTGGTAGTTATTCCCTGTGATGAGACTGGCAATCACCTCCATGGTGGAACCTACCACAAGCATCTGAGTAGCTGCTTTAGGGATGTGGTCTGCTTCCCATATATAAGAAACAGCTTTGGGAATGGTCTCCAGCCTGTGGCACGCTTGGACCCTGCATGTAGCCGTGTCGTTGCTCAGCAGCCTGCCATGTTCTGCCGACCTTGGGACTTACAGTGGACTTAAGTTAATGGCCTGCCGTGTGGTTTGGTAACATTGGGACTGTGCCTTTTGACTTGTCAACCTTGGGGCTTCTCAGCCTCAGCAGCCAGCAGCTGTCTGAGTGAAGAAACGCCTCTAGCTCCAGTGGGCCGGGAGCCGGAAGCAAAGCTGGACCCCAAGGTTGAGGGGCTTTCACCCAGTCCCCAGAGCCTGGCACTTTGAACTTGGACTTAAAGTCTCCAAACTGTGAGAGAATAAACTCCTGTGTGTTAAAGCATCCCATTTGTGTTATATTTCCTGTCAGAGTGGCACCAGGGAACCGGAACAGTAATCTACTTCCAAAAATTAGCCAATGAAAGTCAGCGTTCCAAAGAAGAAAGAACTTCCCAAGATTCTTGCGCCCCATCTCACTGCGAATATACATTGCCATGGAAATAGGGCTGGAACACTGTTGACACAATGACTCGTAGACATGCAACATTTTCTTGAAGAACAATTCAGATGATCACTGCTTTAGTCATGATTACTGCTAACTTGCTTTAGCCTGACTTTGGGATCACAGAACGTTGTTGGAGACTTCTATGCGATTACTCTGGATGTGCCATCAGGCAGGACCAATTGTTGGAGAAGGACTTCCTGTTTGGTAACATGGAGGGCCAGCAAAGGCAAGGGGACCCTCCATGAGACGGACTGACACAGTAGCCGTGACAAGAGGCTCCCACACGCCCACAGTGTTGAGGACGCTGCAGCCCAGGCAATGTGTACGTTCATACCTGGGGTCACTGTGAGTCGGTGCTGACTCGATGGCCACTAACAGAACCAATGATGGCGTTTGTGTCATTTGCTACGGTGGCTCCGGGCTGCTAACACAGGGTCAGGAGGGCAGAGGGGGCTGGAGGTGACAGGGTCAGGGACTGGGTGGACACACATGGGCCTGGAGGTGATAGAGTTGACAGGTAGGCAGCATTGTAGGTAGACAGGTGGGGCTGGAAGTGACAAGAGTTGCTGAATCAAAAGACAGAGGGGATCCGAATGAGACAAGGAACCCGACCAGCCACCATCCTGAGAGCGCAGCGTGGAGGGCCTGCCATGGCTGGTTGGGCAAAGCTTTGGAAGCATCCTCCAAAACAAACAGCGCTGCCGGAAGTAAGAAAGAAACGTTTATTTGCATACGGCTCTGGGGGCGGGGTCTGTGCGCCCAGGCCTCCCCCTACTGCTGCCGGGAGGGCCCGAGGATGTACAGGAAATGGGCCTTGCGGGCGCGCAGCCTGGGGTGCAGGGAGCCCCGGGGGCCCTCCTCCGCAGCCTCCTCGTGGCTGCCCTGGCGCAGCCCGTCCCGGATGGCCTGCAACCGGTGTCTCTTCTCGCTGAGCCAGCGGGTCCCCTCCTGCGTCTCTTGGTGGGCCCTCCTCCGGGGCAGCTTCATGATCCAGAAGGCCACCCGGGGGCGGGCCTCCACGCGGAAGTGGTCCACAGCCCTCTTCGGGACGGGCACCGGGGTCGCCGCCTTCTCCATGTCGGGCACCTGGGAGGGCAAAAGGGACAGACTGAATGGTGCCCCCGAACAGCTAAGTGGAAGTGGTAACGCCCGAGCAGGACCTTGTTTGGGACATAGAACCCTGCTTTTCGTTTTTTTGATTTTTACCGTGATTTGGGTGAAAGTTCGCAGAACAAATTCATTTTCCATACAGGAGTTCAAACACATTTTGTTTCATGGCACCGACTGCAATTCTCCACAATGTAACAGTTCTCCCGCCCCCCAGCTGTCTCCCTGTACCAACACTGCCCTTTGGTTTTCCCAGGATTGATTGTTCCAAGGAGTCTATCTGCCTGATGGAAATGTTCACACCATAGGCCTGTCTGCTGTTTGGCTGGAAGCCATGGGAGTGAGTTCATTTCCAGACCTGAAGGGCAGCTAGGGGGCCATAGTCTCAGGGGTTTCACCAGGCTCTATCAGACCAGCAAACCTGGTCTTTTTTTTTTTTTTTTTAATGATTTTGAGTTTTGTTCCACATTGTTCTCCCACTCTATCCAGGATCTCCTGCAGCCATTCCCCTCTGAGTGGTTGACAATGGTAGCCGGGCACCATCGAGTTCTTCTGGTCTCATGGTCACAAGGCTGAGGATTACATGGTCTACTAGTCCCTTGGACTAATTGTTTCCATGTATCTTTGATTTTCTTCATTCTTTTTGCTCTAGATGAAGAGAGACCCATCATTGCATCTAGATGGCTGCCTGCAAGCTTTTAAGACCCCAGTCACTACTCACCAAAGTAGGAAGTAGAACAGTGTTTTTGTGTAGTATGTTATACCAGTTGAGCTTGATGTCCCTTGCAACCATGGTCCTGAGCCCACAGGTCCAACTACTTGCTCCTCCGAGTAGCTGGCTGTGTGGCCAAGAAGCCACCACAACCTTGTCAAAATAGGGCTTTTCTTTTGATATGTCAGTGAAATCAGTCTGGAGTCAGATGTGTCCTAAAGCAATACCTTCCATGTGGTGTCTTATACAAAAACGAAACAGACAGGGAGAGACACACAAACAAGGGAGACAGATGCCATGTGGAGTGACATCAACAAGCAGCCACAAATGGCAAGGAACGCCCAGGGTTATGGAAGCAGAAAGACACAAGAATCTACCCTCCTAGAGCCCACGAAGAGAAAGAGCCTAGTGTGGCCAATGCCCTGAATTTGAACTCCTAGGAGTCCCTGGGAGCTCTGGTAGCATAGTGCCTAAGGCACCTGACTGCTAACCAGAAGGCTGGCGGTTCAAACCCACCAGCCACTCCTCGGAGGGATGGTTGGTCAATCTACTTCCATAGTGATACCACCTCGGAAACCCAAGGAGGGTTGCTATGAGTTGGGGCCGACTTGAGGCACATAACAACAACAAGAGTCCCTGAGAGGAGCCCTGGTGGTACAGTGATTAAGCCCTCGGTTGCTAACCTGTAAGGTTGACAGTTCAAACCCTCCAGCTGCTCCTTGGGAGAAAGATAAGGCAGTCTGCTCCCATAGAGATTACAACCTTGGAAACCTTATGGGCTAGTTCTCCTCTGTCCTACAGGGTTGCTACGAGTCGGAATCAACTCAACAGCAGCGGGAAGGAGTCCCGGGGTGGTGCAGGCAGTGAAGCGCTTGACTCCGAGCCAAAAGGATGGTGGTTTGAATGCATCCAGAGGTGCAGCAGAAGAAAGGGCTGGCCACCTTCCCCAAGGTCACAGGTCACGGCCTTGAAAATCCTTTGGAGGACAGTTCTGCCCAGGAGGGGCTGCCATGAGTTGGCACCAACTCAAGGACCAGTGTTTTAGCCCTCAAAACTGGGACAATCAACCCAATTTCTTTAAGGTCACCCATTTCTGGTGTTTTTTTTTTTTTTTTGTCACAACCAAAAGACCCAGCTGTCACCAAGTCAACCCCAACTCGTGGCGACCCCATCTGTGTCACAGTAGAAAGCACTGTGCTCCATGAGGTTTTCAGAGGCTGGTTTGTCAGAAGTAGATTGCTCGAGGTTTCTTCTAAGGTGCCTTTAGGTAAACTTGAACCATCAACCTGTAGTTCACAGCCAAGCTAACTGTTCGCATCACCCAGGGACAACATTAAGTCACTAAGACAAGGAACAAGGAGACCGTGTCCTATTGCAAAAGGCAGCAGAGTCAACCCACACTGTGAGTGACAGGGCCTTTAGGGGTTCAGAGCCCCTCTTTGAGGTTTACAGAGCACTTGGGTTTACAAGCACTTTCTCTTGAAAAACACTCTGAGGTTTCTCTAGGCCCAATGGTACCTGCAACACAACAAGGGGATACTGGGTGGTTCAAAATCAGGAAGGGAGTACAGTGCGTCAGGGCTGTATGTTTTCCCCACACTTATTCAGTCTGTACCCTGAGCACGTAATTCGAGAAGCTGGACTATATGAAGAAGAACATGGCATCAGGATTGGAGGATGACACATTAACCTGCGATATGCAGATGACACGGCTTTGCTTGCTGAAAGTGACGATGACTCGAGGCACTTACTGATGAAGATTAAAGACTACAGTCTGTGGTATGGAGTACATCGCAACATAGAGAAAATGAAAATCCTCACAACTGGACCAATAAGCAGCATCACAATAAATGGAGAAAAGATTGAAGTTGTCAGAGATTTCATGTATTACTTGGTTCCACAATTAACAGCGATGGAAGCAGCAGTCAAGACATCAGATGACATACTGCTCTGGGCAAATCTGCTGTAAAAGACCTCTTTAAAGCGCTGAAGAGCAAAGATGTGTCTTTGAAGACTAAGGTGCCCCTAACCCAAACCATGGTATTTTCAGTTGCCTCATATGCATGTGAGAGCTGGACAATGAACAAGGAAGACTGAAAAAGATGTGATGCTTTTGAGTTGTGGTGTTGGCAGAGGATACTGAAAGCACCATGGATGGACTGCCAGAAGAACTAACAAATCTGTCCTGGAAGAAGTACAGTTGGAATGCCCCTTGGAATCGAGAATGGCCAGACTCCATCTGCCCTACTTTGGTCATGTTGTCAGAAGGGACCACTTCCTGGAGAAGAATATCATGGTTGGTACAGTGGAGGGTCAGTGAAAAATGGGAAGGCCCTCAATGAGATGGACTGACACCGTGGCTGCAGAGATGGGCTCAGGTACAGCAGGGGTCGTGAGGCTGGCGCAGGACCGGGCAGGGTTTCGTTGTGTTATTCACGGGGTCGCTATGAGTCAGAGCTGACTCGACAGCACCCAACAACAACAACAACAGCTGTACCTGGTAGCACTAATTTGCATTTCACTGCTAACCTGAAGGTTGGGGGTTCGACTCCATCTAGCGGCCCCATGGAAAAAAGGCCTTGATGACCTGTTTTTGTAAATATGACAGCTAAGAAGATCCTAGGAGCTCTGGTGGTGTAGTGCCTAAGGCATGTGACTGCTAACCAGAAGGCTGGCGGTTCAAACCCACCAGCCAGTCCTCACAAGGAAGACTGGGCAATCTACTTCCGCAGAGATACTGCCTCGGAAACCCAAGGAGGGGTCGCTCTGAGTCAAGTCAAGTCAATGGCAGTGACTTTGGTTTGGGCTTTGCTTCCAGTGGGTGTGGTTTGGGCTTTGCTCCCATCAAGACTGACAGCCTTGGAGACCCTGTGGTGCAGTTCCACTCTGTCCTCTAGGGGCGCTGTGGGTCAGAA